TGACGGGGCAGATGGAAATAGAACTCAAATTGCATAAAAGGGAATCATTTCTAGCAGCATCATTTATTTGCCTGCGATCATCATTAAAGCCAGTATTCAAACTCCTTAAGAGCACAACCCAAACAACACACAAAGGGCTTCAAATGCTGTTGCTTCAACTCAGCTGGATACAGAAATTTTACAGGCCCAGGGTTGTTTTCACTCTTCCCTTTGGAAAGTGCTGACCCAACCATAGCACAGAACTTTTCACAAGCATGAACTGATTTTCATGGAGCCGTGCAGCCCCAAATTCTCAGCAACTTCCCACTTCCTTGGTCCCAACTCGCAAGACCCACATAATATCTGGCTCATTTGCTAGCAGGAAACCTCAGAACAGCAGCAAATAACATTTTGCTTTCTTTTCTCATCTGCACACTGTAAACCACTTCCTAGACACAGTCCAAGATAGCAATGGTTCCTACTGCAACGTCTGTTTAGCAGGATGATGTCACGTAAAAAAAAACAAGAGCCCACCACAGTTGTGCCTACCCCCGCCCCCAACTCACGTAGCCTCAATGCTGCAACTCCCAAAGCTGAGTGCTCTCTTATAACCCCTTTTCCCAGGCTCCCCCTCGAAGCACAACCAGCTGCACAACCCCTAAGATTGCAAGAGTCTGCTCCTTCCTAAATGATTGATGACATTGGTATTGTGCATTTTACTCACAGGAAGCAATGTCATATAGCTTACCCCAGATGATGCACCAGGAAAAAGGCACAGCAGAGGCCAGAGCACCCCTTTGTGACTCCCACACCCCTGCTCTCAGCACTCAGCCCTGCAATACTGAAGCCACTGCTGTTATGTTTAGAGTTAATATTTCACATCCCTCAAGCACTTTTCCTGTGAGGATGGTCAAGTCCTTTACAACACTAATAACACGCAGCTCCGTATTAGCAGATGGGCTTTAGGCAGTCAGAAGCAAAAGCTCAGGCCTAGACACCACCACACGGAGGAAATCCTGTGCCACACCAGGCCCTACTCCTATACCAGGGGCCAGCCAGCAGGCGTGGTCCAAATGTTGGGTCTCAGATCTAGCAATGCACAGGGGCTGAAGAGCCCTCTGATCTGCCGCAGATTTGGATACACAGTGCAGGCCAGCATGAGAGCACGTGCAAAACACAGCTGTTCCTCCCAAGTCATGAGCATGCCAGCAGAGCAGAGCTGGGCCTCTACTTTACCTCCTTACCTGCTCATGTAGCTCACAGGATGATGGCTTTACCCTCCAGGCTTCCACCCAGGCCAGCAGGGATCACCCCTCCAACTGCTCCACAACCCTGCACTTGCTTCCACTGTTCCCCAGATTGAGCTGAAAAGCCTCTTCCCCAGTCTTCAAAATCAGCACCTCCCAGGATGTCACACATTAACACCAATGCCTTCTCCTGTAACCTTGCCTCTCAGTCAAGAACCCCTTTGTCTACAAATACTAATGAAAGCTCTTTACAACAAACTGGTCCCCTACAACAGGAAAGTTGTTCTGTCGGGGGAATGGGGCTGCTACCCACAGAGGTTCAACTTTATTTCTACACAAACTTCCTACCTGAGATATTCTCTGTGTATATTAAACCTCGAAGAGACTTAGATAAAGGTGCTTATGAAGTGACAGATGTATTATAAGGAAAAGTACATGCAGATGCATTGTAAGCAAAAGTACTCAGAATTACTACTGGTTATATAAAAACCTGTCCTCATTTATTACAATATTAACACTACATACATCAACCACTTCAGGACTATTTGGAGATCTGCTGGTTCAATGTGGCAGAACTAACAAACAGGTTGAGGGATCAATGGGTGGGTGAATACAGGAAATGACTTGAGAGATTTCTGGATACCAGAAACTCTTTGTGGCCTCAGCGTCTAACGCGATACACGCATGGGAGAGTCTTACATAGAAGTGACTAAACCCAGTGAGAATACAAGTGTAGGTATGCAATGAAGCCCAGTGTTCACAGACACCAGTCCTCAATCTTGGCAGTGTGTCCACTGGGAGAGTTCATAATAGAAATGCGATAATCAGGGATAGTGATGTCACATGGAAAAGGAGACTGCTTCCCATTCTTCTTCTTCTTCTTCTGTTTCTACACCACATTTGACCATTTTAGTACACGCTTGTGTTCGTTTAATATACTTTACAACATTTTTCACCGTACATGTGTCTTTGTGTAGCTAACACTGCTGTAAGTGTTGCCCAGTCTGAGGCTCTGTGCCAGTCACAGGTAGTTGAAACACGGGTGTAGCCACACTTCTTCATTGGTCCCTTGGACGGTCCGACTCTGGTACATAGTTGTTGAGACATCGCCGCCTTTGCCATGCTCCCTCATCCCCTGCTGGGAAGGACTCAGCTGCTGGAACGTACATATTGTCACTGTCAGGTGTTTTCTTCAGCCTCTCGTTGCACATCCGTCATTGTGCCTCCTTGAGTGTGGCATCAACAGGTTGGGTGATGGTGAGGAAGTTCCTGTATGACTTCAGACATTTGAGTGCTGCAGGATAGTCGTACAGTGAGTGTCCCCCACAAGGGTGCTTCTATGATGCTGCTCCAGATACAGCTCAAGAAAAGCACCCTGGCCCACAACAGGAGGATACTGGAATGCAGCAATGAGGGAGTCTGAAAACTGTCCTGTTCCTGTACTGGGCTAGATGCATTCTCAGTTCTTCCTTGTTGGGTCTTATCCAAGAAGCCTATGCTGCATCCACAGGAGCTAGGCTGGGGATTCCCCATGACTCCACACATACGGCTTGCAGGCTTGGCTAAGAGCTCTTTGTTCTTCCCCCTTTACAACAGCTTTCCTCCATCAACTGATCTTGCCTGTGTCAGGTCAGAGGCCTGGAACAGCCAGCACTCCAGGGTGTGAGGCTGTTTCCTGAATGCCTACGGCTATCTCATGCCCATTCTCCGGCACTTGCACCAGTGCTTCCACACGTTTCACAAGGCATCTGTCCTTTAAAAATGAAAAATAAGAGAGACTTGGAACATCCAGGTCTATTGTGGGATTCAAAGGTGGCATAGCCATTCATGGCCATGCTCCACTCCAGCCGAGACACCAGTGCAATTTGCCCCTTGGAACAAGGACACTCCCGACACTGAATTATCACAGCTCTCCACACTCCATGGGCATCCCTCATTCCAGAACCTCAGCACTTCTCAAAAAGCAGAGGCCAAATCCCTGTCTATGCACAGACCAAGTTAAGTCAAACATTTCACGTTTTCTGTGCCAGTCCAGAATTTCAGGGTCATGTCCTGTTGTCCTAGAGATGCAAGTTGTGTCTCCATTTGGAACACTGGCCCCACATCTGACAAGCCATGCACAGTGCTCCATTGCAATGAACCAGTGTTGGAAGGGACCTCAAGGGTCCTCTGATCCAATCTCCTGCACAAATACAAAAATGTACTCTTACATCATCCCTGACCAATGCTTATCCAGCCCAATACCCATTCACTGCACCAGGGGTTCATACTCAGTGTCCTGCAGCACACCTGGGAGAGTACCACAGCGGGCTCACGCAGTGTATATTTTGGGGAATTCAAAAGGGACAGCCTATTTCCCTCAAGGTTTCCATGGCAGAAGAAAGACTTGTGCTGACATGGAGCAAGGCTCTGCATCAGTTAATTAGCTCCCTTGCAGCATCCCTCCACTCCTCCTTAAAGGGGCTGCTGGCTCCCAGAAGCTGGTCTCACTCGCACACTCACACACACCAGTCAGTCAAGACTCTTCCAGCACACAGACACAGCTCACAATGCCCTGTCGAACAAGCTGACTTTGGCTGGGGCACGTAAAAAATAAGCCATCAGGCACTCACCCCTGTCTCCTGTGTAGCTGCAAAGGAAAGAAAACAGTCCTGTCAGACAGCAGTTGGGTGTTTTGCATCACAGTATTCATGCAATTAAGGTCACAAGACCGACCTCTGCCTGTAGCTGCACATGGGGTGGCCAAGGGACAGTACGTGGACTGCATGGCTGTAACTGTTACCTGCACTAACCCCAGGGGAGACGCCCAGGGTAGAAGTACAATGGCAAACGCCCAACCCTTATCTGACATGCTCAGGGCTCCTAGTTAGAAGTTGCTGCTCAGGATCTTCCAGGGGAAACAAAGTCCATCAGGCACACGCTGCCGACCCGAGTTACAGCCGCCCCTTGGAACGCTAGGAGCTCTCGGCTGCTGACACTTACGTGGCTCATACCGGCTCCTCTTCTTTTTTTCTCGCCAGCAGAAGAACACTGCTACAGATATCAACAACAAGACGAGTATAACAAAACCAGTCACTGTCACAGCTGTCACAAAATCTCTGCTTCCACAACCTGCATCTGAAGCAGACGTCCCGGCCTTTACTTCAACCATACCGCTGTCTTCGCACCTGGGATAAAGGAAGACACATGCACATTAGGAGCAAATAGGTGTGTCACCAGCATCCCCACTGACTGTGCTCACACCCTGCTATCAGCCAGACCTGGAGCATGTGGGATAAAGTCCCTCCCATAGCCCTACCCTACAGCCTTAATCTAGACCAAACCCTGTTCATTTCAAGGCTGCAGGATTGGGCCTTCATAGACAAGCAACCTGGGCATGGTTGGGAACATAAGGTATAAAAGCATCAAGTGTTAACAGATGGCAGGAATGGAGTGATCACAGGCATCCCATTTTTTTTTCTCTATGAAAATCCCAGTTTCTGTGACAAAAAAATCCCAAACTCTCCTTTTTTAAAACCCCAAATCCATGTTTTTCCACAATTAAAATGATATACCACCATATATCTAGGTATCAGTTGAACACACTTTTTTATTGATATATTGACAATTTCAAAGCTATCTGAAAGCCTTCCAGCGCCTCAATCATTATAACAAAATTAATTCGAAATACTTAAATATTTTGGCATTTGATTTTGGTTTTTTATCACAGAAAATCAGAGCTGCCCCTGCCCCCTTTGCTGCAACCATCTCCCCTGCTGCTTTGTGGTGCTGAGCAGCCCTGATATGCTGGTGCCCCTCACTCTCAACCCACAGCCCCACAGCCCTATTCATGCCCCTCACTCCCAACCCATAGCCCCCGTACCTGCCAGTGCTTCTCACTCCTAACCCACAGCAACTGCCCCCCTCCCAGGCCTGCTGGTGCCCTTCACTCCTGACCTGCACCCCGCTGCCCCTCTCAGCCCTGCCGGTGGGGACCCGCAGCTGCCAGGGCTATGAAGCCAGGGCCCACGGTGCCCTTCCCACCCTGGCAGTGCCTGAGCCCCAGCTGTTGGTGTCAGGGCCCAGTACAGAGGCTCTCTCCCCCACACCGTGGGGCAAGGATCCGGGGCTCTCCGCCCTGCTGCCCTCCCCTCAGGGGCCTCTGCAGACCTAAAGCAGGAACAGGGACATTCCCATACAGACTTTGATACCACCCAGGGCACAGAAAACCCAGAGACATTCACTATCACACTCTACCACTGCACTTAGCACCATCCAAGGCATCGAAAGGCTGAGAGTCTTCCATAAAACCGCTATGCTGAGGGCCAATTCAGCCTCACTGGAGCGTTTTGCATTGAATAACTTTAAAATATGCATTTGTACTTCATATTCTGATGCCCCTGGTGGGTGTTACACTTCAGGCATGATTAATGAGCCAATCACTTGTAACCTGGCTACGTGTTAATACAATTAATGGCACAATAAAACAAATAATAACCAACAAAGTTATTACCTAAAATATATGTAATAATTCTGTGGCTGGTTCCCATCCTGCCTTAAATTGTACATGACCAGGCATCAGCTGGTCAGGGCTTCCAGTCTCAGGAGCACATGGGAGCCCTCGATTCCCACATGCTCCGGAGGCTATGTGCTCCAATCACCTGCCAACCTCGCGGGTGCATCCGAGTCAAGGGCTCCAACGTGCCGCTGAGGCTGGGAGCTGTGATTAGCTGCCATTCCCAGCCTGAGGGGCACTTGGATTCCTTGACCCTGCTCTACTTCCAAGGCTGGGAGCACGAATCAGTGACTGGCTTGCTACTGGTCAGTGCAGGTGTAGATGGAGATCACGATCTTGTGCTCCCCCTACACTGGCAATATGACATGATTTGGATTTGATCCCTGACCCCACAATACACATGCTTGTGTAGCATGGCAGGAAGCATGATTGCTTGGGTCGTGCATCAGGTGCCATGACGCCTCTAACTCCACATCTACCAGGAGCCTGAGAAAGTCAAACTCCTCCTCTACGGCCACACGACGGTGGCCCGCTCAGCCTTGGAAAAGCAGTTGTGCTGCACAGGCGGATGGACAGCTTCCCAGCATTGGCCCAGTGCTCAGATCCACCTGGCCCCTCCACATGCCCCTGTGCAATGAGGATGAGGGGCAGAGAGCAGCAGAGGAAGCAGAAAAGGACTCCTGTCCCCAGCCTTGGAGGGACACCCCACTACTCAGCCTGGGGCCTCAACTGATTTATTTCTGCTGTCCTTGGAGCTCCTTTACCCACAGCTGATGTACCAGCAACTTCAGCTGAAAGATGCAATCCTGAAGGGAAACACAAAGCAAAGTAGAAAGTCAATGCAAGAAAGCGCCAGTAAAAGTCAGTCACCTACCTGGTCCACGGTGTGCAGACCTTTGACATATTTGCTGCTGAAAAGGTTCCCTTAGGACAGATCTCACATACATTGTCACTGGTCGCTGTACCTTTAAGAGAGGAAGGCAGACGGATGCTTACATGGAAGTGTGGCCCAAAGCAGCGTTGACTGCAGAAACATCTCCAAACCAAGGCAGCTGCAGCCTGCATACATCCCACCAGCTCCTCCAGCTGCTGCTCTGGCTCAGCACCCTCCCTCAGTCTTGAATGGTAAAACTGCCGTTACCTTTTCCCCAGTTCAGTCTGTGAGTGCAGGAATTTGCCCTTGATGGTGTGGCCACTAGGACCCCTTACCTGGAATGGACAACCGAAAGCCAGGGGGACAGATGGTCTGTTTTTGACACATTTCGCAGTCCTCATCGTGAAAAACACGGCAAAAATAGCCCACTCTGCAGCCACACACTGTGTTTCTTGTGTATGTACATTTTTCTTTTATTATCAATTTGAGTTCTATGGGAAAAATCACACAGACAACAAGCCCCTTCACCTGAGGAATCAACAGCAGAGACAAAAGCAGACGTACATGCACACCCCATGCTGGTACACCCCTAGCAGCATGACAGCTCCCAGACCTGGGCATGCTGACCTCTTGAACAAGTGCTGCCATGCATGGGCAGATTCAGGATTTCGGAAAGGGAATGCAAGAGCCGCGACCTGTGCTGCAGGTCTGGCTGTAGCCCTGCTCCCATCCCACCCCCTTCACCAGGGTGGACAGACCATACAACAGGAGCAGCAGCAAGGAACTATTTTTAAGTCCCTCAAGCAGGTAAAAATCTTTCCTCTTTCCCTCCCTTCACCACTGTGCAGTGACCTATTCCCTCTTCTCCCCCTTCTCCTTCCTCCTCCCTCCCACTGCTGCCCACAGCTGACTTGGGGGCAGAGGTGGGGGGCATTCAGAGCTGCTCCTGCCTCACTCCAGCTGAGCTGCACATGAAGGCAGGTTGAGTTAGAGACGGAGCAACACCAGGCTGATTAACACCAGGTTCCCTACCATCATGCCTGCTCCGAGGGTGGTAAGGCAGAAAGGAGGGACCCAGACTCTGCTATTGCTGCCCACAGCTGAGCCCACCTCCACAAAGAGCAGAGCTGGGGCATGCAGCAGAGGCTATGGAGCTTCCCATGCCCTTGACAGAAAAAGGAAACAACAGTGGTGGCAAAGGGAGAGGGGATGTGGGGATGGGAGGCGAGGTGCTGCTGAGTAAAGGGGAAGGGATGAGGGGGTGCTTATTTTGGGGAACAGAAAAAAAAGAAGCCCCCAGCTGCTGATCCCATAACACAGTTGACTGAAAGGGGCTGCATCCATGCCACCACACCTCCCTGCCCCCAAATCTGCCCCTACTTCTATGTCTCCCCTCTCATACTCCTTGGGTTGCATTTACATTTGGGCCAAATGACTACAGGGTAGTACCAAAAGGCTACCAAGTGAGTGCTAATCACCTACAAGGGAGATGAGACTCAACACTCCCCTGTGTTCTCTGTGTGCCAGGTAAAAACCTGGCCCCAGGTATCAGACAACACAGAATCAGGGCTTCAACAGCACTTGAGGAGCACTGTCTTGCCCTGGGACTTTGGAAGGGCACCCAGCTGTCATAACATCTCCTAGGCTAGCCTTCTGCCTGGCTGCCTTCAACCTGCTCTAATGTGTGTTGAGACCAGCAGAGGCTATGGAGCTTCTCATGCCCTCGACAGAAAAAGGCAACAACAGTGGTGGCAAAGGGAGAGGGGAGGCGGGGATGGGACGGGAGGTGCTGCTGAGTAAAGAGGGGAAGGGATGAGGGGATGCTTATTTTGGGGAATGGAAAAAAAAGAAGTCTCCAGCTGCTGATCCCATAACCCAGTTGACCGAAAGGGGCTGCATCCATGCCACCACACCTCCCCGCCCTCAAATCTGCCCCTGCTTCTATGTACATCACATCACCCAGAGCCGTCTCCCCAAATGACTACAGGGTAGTACCAATAGGCTACCAAGTGAGCACTAATCACGTACAAGGGAGATGAGACTCAACACTCCCCTGCATTCTCTGTGTGCCAGGTAAAAACCTGGCCCCAGCTGCCAGACAACACAGAATCAGGGCTTCAACAGCACTTCAACCTGCTCTAATGTATATTGAGACCAGACCGTCATGGCCCCACAACTGGGAACTTAAGTCACAAAGGCAGCTTGAAGTTCCCCAAGCACCTTCTGTCTTCTGCACTAGACCAGCAGCTCCTTAGCCACTGCTTGAAAGGCAAGGGTCTGATCTCCCCCCGGTACAACATGGAAGTAAGCCGGCACTGGGGCTAGCAGAGGTGAAAGGTTGCCATCAGCACTCTTTTCCTAAACAAAAAAAGTTCATCCTATTTCTTTAAATGAAATACATAAAGCCCTGCTGGCAATCTAGGTGACTACTGCCAGGCTCCAGAGGACTGCAAAAATAAGTTAGAAGCTGAACCTCAGACTCTGGAGGTCTGGTCCTGTGCCTGGGGTGAAGGGGGAACCAGAACAAAGTCACATGCAACATTTCACAGTGCCTTTACCTTCATCACAAAATTTACATCTTCTGCACTCCTCTAAGCCATTGGGATGGTCTGTGTATGTGTTTCCCACACAAGGAATGCAGGTTGTGGAGGAGAAATTGCTGCAATGTTTCTGTACTCGTTGACCTAAAGGCACACAAAACCATTAGCTCCTGTCTGAACCAAGGCAGTATATTTGATACATTCTTCATGGACAGACTACATACAGTCACAGGCAAGTGCGCATTATGATGCACACCCATTCCATACCCAGTTTGCTAAAATCCAGAGTTCTCATCAGGAAGTACTCTACCAGTTTGGCAACTGTAACCCATCAGACCAGTTCTGTCTGCTCAACACAAGTACAGGATGGATGGGCACAAGGGATGGAGTGTGTGTGACCATGCTGTTATGTTGTTATCCCCACTGCACTCATGCTTCCAGTCTGTGGAGCACGACACGGGCCCTGTCATGCATGTACATGTCCTCATGTGACTGTGCAGCGTCTGGGCTCCTCAGAAGATGGACTCCCAGGGACTGCAGATCTCCCTGGGGAGTCCCCAAGTAAACTGGTGTCTGCAGGGATGCTCTCCACAGCACGGGCCATGTGAGTGCCTGGTGACTGCCTGGGAAGAGGGATTAAAGGAGCTGGTGATAAGGGCCTCTTGAAAGCACACTGTAGGACTCTGGCCAGGGGCAGGACTGAAACTGTGTGACAGAAGTCGTCCCTGGCTACAGGGAATTAGGGTAACATAAACTGGCAATTGCCTGTGTTAGGGTTTCCATGGAAAGAAAATCACATTGTGTCCAGCAATGAGCAAGGGTCTTTGTGAGACCATCCCCACTCCCACCAGTAAGCTGCCAGGCTAAGGCCCAGGCAGCCAGTAAAGAGACGATGAGTGCAACTTGGCCAAAGCCATGCAGAAAATCTCTTTTGGGATCTCCCATGTTCTACGCAGTGCCTCAGCCATGAGATTAACCCACCTCACATCCTCCTCTAACGCATTAATAACATGCATTGTATGCCCAAAAGTTTAGTTCCCAGTGCAGCTTGGGTTGCTCAATTTTGCTCTTAAAGCACTGAAAATATCATACTCCTTGCTAACACAGCTCTGCCAGCAAAACCGGTGGGGTGGATGCAGCTCTGCCCACAGATAGGTGCCTTTATCAGCTTCTCTCATGCTGTTGGGGAAGATGGCCAGCTCCTTCTGTTAGCGCATGTTGTGTCTACACCCGGGCACTCTGCTGATATACATGAATGGGTTCTGCAGGGTAGAGAACTTGCATCCCACCACTGTCACTCCAGTTGTACAAGCTTTGGTGTCCGCAGTTGTGTCCAGAGACAAAGTAGCCTAGAAGAAGAGGCCAGGCAAGGGGGCTGCTTTAGGAAAGGGCTTTGTTTCCAAAAGAAACCACATTTACGTACCTGGACTGCACATGGGACAACACTCGCCATGTACCACGTACTCTCCTGGACTGCAGGGCATAGCTTCTGAAGGAATTGTTTTAATTACCAAGAACACGAGAAAAGTCTTTAAGGAGAAAAAGAAGAAAGGGGTTTTGTATTGTACAACACCAGGGATATACTATCCTGCATGCAGCCCTGCAGGCTCAAAAGCACACAGCAAGATACATGGCAGCATCAGAGCACTGGGAGGCTTTGGCCTGTAACAGCTGAAAAACCCAGTGGTGATAGCACTTGAAGCCAACCTCTCTCCTTCTCAGCCCTGCTGCGCCAGCCCCATGGACCTCCAATAGCTTTCATGCACCACCCTCTCCCAACCCAGAGGATTCGCCTGGCTTGAGCACTAAAAGCAGCCGAGGACACTGATCTGGAGGGCCCCATTTGCAACAGGAGGTGGTGTGTGCTCCACAACACAAGGGCAGCAGCTCCAGTGAACCATGCTCAGGGGCCTCAGTCCTGCTAGGGTGCAGCGTCGTCGCCAGCTGCCGTCTCCTCACAGCCGACAAGAATCTTCTCTTAGCCGCAGCGGCCTCGAACCTTCCCAGGCCCATCCCCTCCCTGGTTCCCTCGGGTCAGTTTGAAACTACAGGGGAAGAACGTGCCACAAGGCCACAATGCAATGGCCCCATGCACCAGGCACAGCCTGAGCTTAAAGTGAGGGTGTCCCAGTCTGCCCACACCTGGAATGGAAAACCTTTTGCAGCCCCGCAGGCCCCAGGCCCACGGTCCCCTGAGGCTGCTGCGTCTGAAAGAGCTTCCAAGCCTGCTCCTGCGCACACCAGGCCTCTGAACAAAGGGCAACGGGAGGGAGATCTGGCTGGGGCCTGTTCTGCTGTTTCCTCACAGCCGTTTGGCTCTGCACCAAACTCCGGCATGTTGCAAGCCCGGGAGAATCTCCCTGTCCCGTCTGCGCACAACTCAGCCCTTCCCGCACAAAAGTGCTGCCTCTGCGGGGGCCTCTCCCCAAGGGGACAGTCTGGGAGCAGGCGCAAGACGTGCCCCCCTGGCTTTTCAGTGGCAGTCGCATCCCCCGGGTTAAGGCCAGGTGCCCTGCGGAGACTCCTGGGCGCTGAGACGTCATACTGCCTTGTCCCCCCTCCCAGCATCAGCCCTGGCCCCTGCGGGGTTACACAGCTCCCACCAGCTCGGGGTCTGCCAGGGCAGAGCGCGGCGGTGCCAGGCGGGCAGGCCAGGCGCAGGAGGTGGCAGAGGCAGGCAGGTGCAAGCAGAAGCAGAAGCAGCAGCAGCAGGAGGAGATGGAGGCAAACGCTGCGGCCACAACCGATGAGGGCAAATACCGTGGCTGCGAGAGGCAGTGAAGCTGCAGCTCTCGGGAGCAGGACCTGCTGCCCCGCCACAACCCTGCGGTTTGGCTGCGCCGCCCGGAGCGGGCAGGACGGCCCCGGCCGCGC